GTAACATCAACATAATATAAATATCAAGACACAATACATGAAAAACAAACATTTAACATAACAGCACAATCACTGAGAGAAAACATGCTGAAAGACCCTTTAGCGTGCATTTGATCGGATTGACTGGAGCACAAAGGAGTGCTTCAACATGGCACACATCACAACTAATTCTGATTCTAACTGCAAAATGTTTAGCAGTTTTGAACGTACAGGACAAATTCAAACCCCTTACCTTCAGTATCTCTGCTTTTCCACAGCAGGTCCCGCAGACCTCTGGCCCCCCCGGTGAAAGTCAAGGATTTGCGTTTTGGTTCCCTTCGTTTGAGCGAGCTGTCGTTCCCTGAGGGCCGGAGTTTGGCCAGAGGAGGCAGACTCTGGCGGTAAAATCCTCTCTCTTGGAACCGGGTTTGTCGGTCAGAGTTTGGCCGCTCGCTGACAGACGGGCCGGTCCGATGGAGGATGAGCTGCACGTCGCTGGCATACTGACCCCATTTGTTGAGCGACACCACGGGGTTTTCGTTCGGGGCCAGGTGGCGTTCTGTGTCACGCCATTTCTCGATCAGAGTATACCTGCCGGTGCGTCCTGGAACAACATTTGAAAGGTTTATACATGATGAAGTGCTTGAAACTGACATTTCCTGACAACATGATTGCAACATAAGTACCATATATTCAAAAAATATCAGGTTTAGGTTCAGGTTATTCATTTGTACGTGTAGGTAGATTTGGTTTGCAGCTAAAAGAGAGACTTTTTCAAGAGATTTGTCTGTTGTCTATGTTGTTTTGGAATATGTGTCATAATTGATCCCTTTTACCTGCAATGTACCTACAAATAATAAGATTGTTCCTATGAGTAATGGGTTCGGACGTGAAACCAAAAGAATCTTCCAAAACTAGAACAAGTTTCGTGAGTTATTTTTCTGCATTTCTTATCTTTTTCTCAGTGCTCTTATTTTGAAGTGGTCTACTCTCAATTGGTCACCTATACAAAAGGAACATATTTATGATTACGTTTTATGGAGAGGGATGATTTACAAAATCGTGAGCCATAATCTGTTTTGATTTATTTTGTTTAACTATGATGGGAATAGTTTATGCTGTATTTTGTTCAGATGAAAGTAGATTTGGTTTTAAGATTGCAGTGTTTAATTTAACGGTACATGGTTAACGCCGGTCTTATTTAGAAAATGTGTTGCAATGAAGAACTGATTTAGCTCACACTTGATTAAAAACGTTTCTCTGTTATAGATGGCGTTGCCCTCTCATTGGGTGTTCCCCAGGGCTCTATGCTTGGCCCCCTTTGGAGTCCAAACTACACAATTTATTATCTTTGTTATGCAGATGACTCCCAGATTTATGCCCTGAAAAATAGCTTGTAATTAATGTGATGTATTCTGTTTTGGTGAAAACTCCTGAACCATAAGCAAGCCTTAAAAATAAAGTGTTATATCTAAGAGAAAAGACAGAGCAGATTCATTGAAGTCTTTCTAATTTCTCCCACGCTTGAGCAGCTTTGACTGTTTCAAAGAACGTTACCGGCACGTTAGATGAAAGAACTTTACAGTGGGAAAAACAACCCAACAAATAGTGTTTGTGTTGGGAAATGCTGCGTTCAATTGGTCACAGGAGGGGGTGTGTACGCCTGCATTCTTGTCTGTACACATAGATAAGGGTAAAACACTACCAGGCGTACCCTTACCCTCGTCCTACAAAGTGAGGGTCCTTTTAAAAGAGGCACATTCATCACTACAGCCATTCACATCAAAGTGCCCTGGCCGGGACAAAAGGCAACGAGAACACAAAGGACGGCCAACGCCATAACTCCCGCTACACTGTCACCATTAAAAACACACACATGTTTAACCCTGAGAAAGACCTATCAATGGGGGACAGCGAGAAATCCAAGAAGGGTCCATTTTAAAAACAGTACACAACTTTCAATGTAGTAAAATGATATTGTTATGGTCTTGGATTCACAGTTTTATGTACATTACAATCAATTCAATGAGTTACAGAGAAAGTGTCAACTTATATCTCTGCACTTGTACATAAACCGAAGTCTGCAGCATGACTCATCTAGTTTTGTGAAATCCTATTTGTGATGAAAATCTCTTTGTGCCCTCGAGTCACTTTTCATTTTACTGCAATTTATCATCTCCAGCACCTCTGACAACCTGCCCGGCCAATGTTGGACACAACCCACAGAGCAGAAAATTCCCATTGGGAATGATTTTGGATTAAATATCTCGCACCATTAAGGTTTCTGAGCGCAGGAGCCGGGTGAAGAAGATTTAATCTCACAGTGTTAAATATACTCTTCTTTTGGTGGGCTATTCATCCTCCTTCCTATAACCAATAGCTTTTTAAATCTACTGTATCAGAGAGAGTTCAAACTTTAAGAGGAAACTCAAGACCAACCGAGATTTTAACTTATTTGTATTTTATTTGTATTTTATTCTTATTTTATTTGTATTCATTGTATTCTATTTATTTTATTTTATTTTATTAATTTTATTTATTATTTTATTTATTTTATTTTAATTTATTCACTTTTAATCACAAAGCTTTATGTTACTCTGGTTATACCTGGGAAGGGGAAGATGGTATTGTTTTTATTTGTAAATTGTCTATGTGATTGGTTTGTGAAACACTTTGAGTTACCTTTGTGTATGAAAGGTGTTATATAAATACATATATTGATTTGACGTGATATTCCTGTGATGTTAGATATGTTTCCGAGCATATACCACCTGATGTGATCGCTAGAGATAAGCTGTTTCTGACATCGTAGTAAGAAGTTATGAACTTACCTATGGCTTGAGCCAAAGCGATGACGACTTCCTGGCATGTTGTGAACTCTGTGACGCCGCACACGATGCGCTGAACTCCGTCCACCCACACTTTCAGCTCCATGGCCTTCATCCAGACGCCCTCATTCCTCCACACCACAAGGGGGCGCTATACAAGGTAAACTGTCCATCCTTAAAAAGACACAAAGAAGAACTGTGTTTCACTGTTTGGAATATCTTACAAAAATGATTTCACTCTCATTAACGCTTGCTAAAAAGTTAGGCAAATAAAAACGTTTACAGTGATAATATGTCAATGGTGTGTTTACTGACCCCTAGTGGCCAGTCAAATATTGCATGTCTAAAAACGAATTTCTTCACTTGAAAACATTAATTTGGCCGAGAGAATTAAGGAACAATAATGATATCAACAAGATTCAGCAAAAACTCAATATTCCATACCAATTTTTGAAACATCATGTTTTAATTTGTAATTGAACGCACCCTACACTTTTCCCACAATATCTTTTCAACCACTTGTCACCAAACTTTTACAACATGGCTGAAAAGAGCTAAAATCTTTATAGAAATACCACCCAGGTGCCACATGGTCGTGCATTGTGACACCAGCTTCCTGCAAACCATCTACTCACAACAACTACGAACACTTCTGTAGTGGGTTTTCCTGTAGTGCTGCTGATGAATTAAATGGTGAATTAAATGGTTATCACCGCATTTAGTTTTGCACAATTTACATTATTTAATTTCATATTCTGTTCTTGTACATATCATATTCTATTTACATGTATATAGACTTTTTGCACTACTTTGTATTTTATTATATAAGTTGCATTGTTGGAGGAGCTCAGGTCAGAAGAATTTAATTGCCATTTCTACACTGTAGCTTTGTGCATATGAGAATAAAACATTTGAACCTTCTAAAAAAACAAAACAACAACACAAGCTTATTAACATATGAATTTTACAAGTTGTCAACAAAATGCAAAGTGTTAC